GCATCTTCACCACAGGTGCAGGAGAGGCTCCAGCTTCCCGACCTGTGGAAGTGGTGGCACAGCAAATGTGTGTTGTTTTTAGCTGCTCATTTCAGGGCAATGTGGTAGCTACCATGAGTGGTTTTGCCATCAAAAGCCACATGGAGTCACGGCACACCTGTGTGTGTTCCCGGCCAGGGAAAGTGAATGCTATCCCACAGTGCTCAAGATCCACGGGCCATAGTGACAAGTGGCTGAAAGGTGTCCCAGTGCAGAGCAAAGGGTACAAGGATGACGACTGCGTTTGGCAAATGATCTGGGCTCAAGTGACACTTTGGGCCGGGGGAGGGGCTGTGTGTGAGACAGACCAGGCTGAGGTCACAGGGGGCCCCAAGTCCTGTCTTCAGGAGGTGGGGGTGGGGCATGAAGGAGGGACCTCCCCGTGGTCTGCAAGCAGGCACTGGAGTGGGGTGGGGAGATGAGTCAGGCTTAGGGACAGGAAAGAAGAACCCGAGGCTTGGTGCTTGAGTCGGGGGCCAAGCCATTCCCACAGAGCTGCTCCCCGCCACAGAGAGAAGCCCAAGTGGGAACTGAGGTGCAGTCTGTGGCCTGGAGCCGCGGCGGCAGCAAGGAGGCAGCAGGTGGCTCATTCTCCACCTCGTGGGAAAGAGGGTGCTGAGGGGACGGAAGAGGGTGCTCAGTCTGGGACCCCCTCCTCATCGGGGGTTCCTAGACCCCCTCCTGGGCCAGGCTGTGAACCTCCCCCACCGCACCCCACCCCTTTCCTCCACCACATCCTGCTGCTCCAGGCTGAAGCCCTGGCACCATCTGGGTGGCCAGGTGGCTTGGGAAGTTCCTTGTGGCTGCTGTACCTGGAGCGTCCCCTCCGGACTCGTGACGTGACGTGTTCAGGTGTCTTGTTTCTGAGGTGAGGGGATCCTGTCCCTGACAGCATCTCCACCCCCTCCTCCAGGCTCAGATGTGCCCAACCCACATTGCCCATCTCTCCTCCCAAACTCAGGGTTTTCCGCCCATCTCCTGTTGGTGCCGAGTGCCCAGGGTCCTGTGATTCCAGCTTTGCTGAGCACATGCCTGACCTGGGGGCCTCCCGCTGGCCCATTTTGAGGGTGGACTTGGGAACCTGAAGCTGGCCCCTGGGTCTCCCGACCCCGCCCACTCCCACCAGTGCCTGCTCCTTCTGCCTTCTTGACCTTGACTTAGCTCCTCTCTCTTTGACCCCTGAACCTTGAACTGTCCTCCTCGCAGCTGCTGCTGCTCCTGTGTCTGAGTCACACCTATTCTGCTGCAAGACACTCCACACGCTGTCAACTGCCAAAATCCACATTGCTAGGACCTCCAGAGGGACGTTGTCAATTAATGTTGGGAGAGATCTCGGGGCTCCCGCGCGAAGGTGCTGCGTGCAGGAGACTTATTTTAAAAACCAGTCACCAGGGCCCCCTCAGGAGGCCTGGTAATTAAGCCAACTGTTGTAGCCGTGGAGTAGCTGCAGCTTGAACATGCAACCTTGGTGTAATTAAGTCAGGCCTCCGCGGATCGGACGCATTGCTCTGCAATGGGGGAGAGCAGAAGTCCACCTACGCGGCTCATTACACGAGCGCTCTTGGATTCCAGGAACTTTGCCAATTATGTTTTTTTTTTTCCCTGTAATTCCAATGTGGTTTTCATCTCCCTCCTTGCAATTTCCTCTTAGCCAAGTGGAAACGTCTTCCTGTCTTTTTAGACTTCTCTGGAATTTAATTGATCACATATCTTGTTGCTAAAGCTCTCTGCGTGGGGCGGGAGTTTCTGTTTCGACAGTCTTAGTTCACCCCTGTCCCAGAAGCAGACTTGGAGAAGATGCGTGTGGGAGACCTAATGGGAGGGTGGCTGCTGGGCCGAGGGGAGCCACAGGAGAGGGCCTGAAGTCCCCATCCCATTCTTCCCAGGCACACCTGGACTACACTTCCCAGTGGCCCCTGTGGTAACACTGGGGCCATGTGACTGGGATCTGACCAATAGGATGAGAATAGAGACCATGGCCATGCCCACTGCATCCTGCCTGGTTCTTCAATTTGCTTCCATTCAGAGACCGGGTAAACCCTAAAGGCCTTTGAGGATGGTGGCCCTACAAATGGCAGGAGCTGGGATCTGTGAGCCCTGGGAGAGCCACAGACCAGAGCATTGGCCCTGGGTTATTGCACGAATAAGAAACCACGGAGCACATTAAGTACGCCAAGACTCAATTTTCTCCCTTGCAAAATGTGTAGAAAGACCCTTTGCCACCCCAGCTGTTGGAGAGGCAGGCTTGAGTGGGAAAGTGCTTTGAATGGGACAGGTGGCCTCCTGGGAGGGGCTGACGTCGCAGAGGGGATGGGTGGGGAGGCTGTGGGGTGCAGGGGTGAAATGGGGCCCTGGCAGAAGTTCCTGTGGCTCTGTTACCTCCGGGCAGGTTCAGAAGGCTGCTGAGGACGCCTTCCTGGAGGGGAGGAGGGGGCGGGGCTGCACTTCCCTTGGCCTCCCAGACGGCAGGCTACCGCTACTTTTTGGGGAGCCATCAGAATCATCCATAGGGCCAGGAGGCTGTGCACACAAGAAACACATCTCACAGTTCTGATTGCTCAGCAACAGTGTAAAAATGGTGACATTTTTGTCAAAATGGAAGACTAAAGTTTGGTGAGTAACTTCTAGGCACTTTGGTGGTACTGTACCAGTGATCAACACATTGGGAACAAGAGATCTAGGTCCTAATTCTGTCTCCATCCCATCTCACCTCTGTATCTGACCCTCAACAGGAGGGTGGGTAGATGCAGGGTCCTCATGACACCAGGGCCCTCCTGCACCCATGGCAGGCATCACTAATCCATCATAGAGCTCTTTCATCTATCCTGTGCTAGTGGCAGGCATCACTAATCCACCACAGAGCTCTTTCAGCCTGAGCTGACTGGCAGCCTCAGAATCTTCTTCAACATACTGCTGCAGGCTGCAGGTGGCTTGTGTTAAAGCATGAGTTTACTGAAGGCTGGGTGGGGTCTTCTGTCTTTGTATCCTTCAGGCCTTGCACCTTCTTGGCAGTGGGGCAGGGCCTGGGAAGATACAGGTGAAGCTCCACTTGGAGGACCTGGCCCTGTTTCTCAGGTTTCTCATCTTACTACAAGCAAGTTGTGGGTAGAATCTGAGGTTGCCAGGAAGGACCAACCATTCATTACGCATCATGCCTCAGGCACCTCGACACAGGTGGGGTCGGAGCCTTGCCTGCCAAGGGGAACCATTGCAATGTTAATAGCAATGACTGTTGGCATGGGGTGTTTATTGCCAGTCAGATTCTGCCTAAGTGGGTTCTTAAAAGTAGTGTGAATTTATTTTATTTGAGAAGCAGAGAGAGAGAGAGAGAGAGAGGGCTCTTATGTGCAGGTTCACTCCCCAAATGCTCACAGAAGCAATGGCTGGGCCAGAAACAAAGCCAAGAACTGGGAGAAACTCCAGCCGGGTCTCCCACGAAGGGGGGCAGGGACTCAGGTATTTGAGCCATCACCTGCGGCTGCCCAGGTGTGCATTAGCAGCAAACTGGAGTCAGGGGCATAGCTGGGGCTGGAACCCAGGCGCTCTGCTACAGGATGCAGGCATCCTGAGAGGCGTCCTAACCTCCAGACTAAATGCCTGCTCCAAGCTATCCCCCTCCCCAAATGTGATCCCTTTTCTTGTTTGCCTGTTCACTTTGTCTCATTAACTCCCCTACATGGGACGATTCCCCATTCAGAGATGAAGAAATTGAGATTCAGAGAGGGGAGGCACCTGCCGAGGTTCTGCAGAGAGGCGCGGGGTGGGGGAGGGGAGGGCCCATTCACCTCCCCCCAGGTGCTGGGGTCTTCCTTAAGCAGATCAGAGTGGTGCTGATGTTGGCCAGACTGCCCAGACCACAGCTGGGGAAGGGCCAGGCTCCAGGGTGTCTGGACATGGAGGAAGGAGGGGGCAGGATGGGGCACAGGACCGGGTCTGAGCGCCTGAATGCCGGCAGCCGGCCTGGGCAGTGCTGCCCCGGGCTGTGATTGGGACACACAGCTCGGGTTTCTCCAGGGGAGGTTTTGCCTGTGCTCAGCAGAGCATTGTTCCGGGAACTGACGGAGCCAGGCTTTTTATGTGGGTTCCCTGGGAACTCAGACAAGTCCGGGCTCCCCGCCGTGTGTCCGCCTTCCCTGCCCCGCTGGCTGGCTGGCGGGAGCCGCCTATGCCGCCCTTGGCGCTCAGTCGTAAACACGAGCAGACAGAACCAGACCATCTCGTTGCTTTCCCTCTTCCCTCGATTTTGACACAAACTCTTCGAAGAGACCTGGACAGATAGGAAAGAGAACAGAACGCAAGCGACGCCAGCGGTGAGCCCATCGGCCTGTGGGCTCCCGTGAGTGAGCTGACCTTGCTGACCCCTCCGTGAGGGCCCAGCCGGAGCCGAGCGTGGGAAAAGGCAGCTGGAGGGGCCAGGGAGGGGCAGCCATTGTCCTGCATCCTTCTCACCCCGTAAATCCTTCTCTGCTGGAGGCTGGCGGCTCTGGGGGAAGATGGATGGGGACACAGGGGCTCTCCCCCCCTGCCCTGGAGTGCTTGTGATCTGAGCCCCTCCCCATGCAGGGGACCCTCTGAAACTTGCCCCTAGCCGAGACAATCTCACTTCTGACCCCAAGAAGGAGGAATGTGGCAGGTCTGGGTCCCCATCCAAGGTGACATGTAAGGTCAAGGGGGGGCAGAGGCCACAGCCCCCTGCACGCTCTGCATCTCAGAAGAACAAAGCATTCATCTTCCTGCAGCCGGGCAGGCTGCCCCCGCGGAGAAGGTCAAGGGGCAGAGAAAGTACCCCTCTCCCCCATCCCCACCCCCCACCCTCCACCTCCATCCCCCAACATTGGAGGGTATGAGACCGCCTTCTCAGAGCAGGCCACGCCTTGCCCTGGCTTTCTGGCCTCCTGTTTGTTCTGCTGTGGTTTTGGAATTTTGCCGGTTTGAAAATCTGAATATTGAAAACACCTTACCTGGGCGGGGGCGGGTTTGCATCAACAGGCTTATCCTGCAGGACAGGCGGGTGGGTGGGTAGAACTGCTCCCTGGGCCTGCCTGCCACTCCATCACTCCGCTGGCTTGGATGGCGCCTCAGTCGTCTCATCTATAAATTGGGAATGACTACGGGGCAGTCATTGGAGAAGGCTCAGCACCTGCCCCAGCAGCCTTCAGGAACGGAGCTGTGACGATATATCTGTGCATCTCATTTGCAAACAGGTGATGTCACCTCCTCCGGCCACAGGAATTCCCCGTTAGATGGGTGAGTCTCAGGGGAGTCTGAGTCGCTTGCCTCCTGGTCTGGAGACCCCAAGCCCTCACCTGTGACTCCTTGCGATGTCATCTTTCTTCTCTGCTCCTGTCCGCATCCTGGCGAGCCTCCACACACACGGTCACAACACTGAGTGGCTTCCTGGTGACATTCGCCGCCCTCCTTGTGCTGTCCCTCGGCCCCTTCTGCTCTTTAACCATCCATGAGCTCCATGCTGTTCCCGGCTCTGAAGACCGCCTGGCAGGAGAGCAGCTTCCGGCAGGGGCAGGTGGGTGGGAACCTGGGGGTCACCTCTCTGGGCCTTTTTTACTTTCCTCTCCCAGCAATGTGTTTGTTGGGAAATCACAGCTCTTTGAGCCTACACCTGAGCCCCTGCCTGGGTTCAGGGAGGCCAAGGCACTGGGACACCCACTCCCCTTTGCCAGGGGCTGTGGCCTCCTCTTGGGACTGGCTGGAAGTGCTGGTGCTGGAGCACTCCCCCACAAAGCCTGGACAGCTAGGGGCTGCAGACAAGCTCCCAGCTTGGGCGCAGGAGGTCTGGAAACTTCCTGGCTGGGCTTGGCTGAGATCCCCTTCCCTGCCCCCAGGCCTTGACGGTGTGTACTGTATTATTGTGGGGAGAGGAATGAGTCGCACTCAGTCAGCTTTTCTTTGCAACATATGTGAGTTCTTTGCAACACAACATTTGTGAGTTCTAAGGAATGACAGTGCCACAAACAGGTGGATCAACCCCCAGCCAAGCCACGGCCATAGGCAGCAGTGGCTGGTGCAGAACATGGGTGCTGGGGGACCTCAGATCCGAATCTGAAGCTCACCCCTATCTTGTGACCTTGGGAGACCTCTGTGTGTCCAGCTGAAAAATGGGTACATGAAAGATCCAAGGTGCCCTTGACAGATATGGTCTGACTTTTCTGTTTTCTTTCTTTTTTTCTTTTCCAGTAGGCTATGTGAGTAGAGAACACCAAGGTGCATTAGGATGTGCGTGCTCCTCCTGCTCAGTGGTATTTGTCACCCGAGAGTCCATTGGTGCCCTACAACGGGGTCATCAGCCAGCTGTGGTGACATCCATGTCTCGAGGCCCCTAAGATTCCCGCCAGCAGCAAGTAGGACTGTGTGAGCCTCCAGGACCCCCAGGGCTGTTGCTCTTACCTCCACCCTGCCCTGGCCCAGGACTGGATCTCTCTTAATGGCCCTCCCTGGAGGGTCCACAAGGCATTCCAAGGATGGCCACCTGCTCGGGTGTATCCTCTGCCAGGTGCTCATAGGTGGCTGGGAGCCACCACAGGTGCTGGAAGCTGATCAGGCCTGTGCTGCCCCAAGGGGTTGGAGCAGGCCTCAGTGGCCTGCTGGGTTCTAACACACAGCAGGTTCTGTCCACTGTGTTCTGTGGTCCCCCCCCCCACCCTGTGATTGTCACAAACTTGAAGGAGATGACCTTGGGCCATGGGCAAGACCCTGCAGAGGGGGGGTGACACCAGATGCCGTGGCAGCCACTGCCTCCAGCACATTCGTGGGTCCTCATGAGGCCGGAGGGAGGAGCCATCTGCCCCAGAGTTTACTGGAGGGAGGAGCCGTCTGCCCCAGGGTTTACTGGAGGGTGGGATGGGGGGTGGGGGAGAGGGGATGGAGAGCCTGGGGGATGTCCCAGGGAAAGGGAAGTCGCCAGAATCGCTTCTCCTTGCTGCATCCGCTTTGCACTCACCAGCTGCACTCGGAGCTTAGTGACTGGGTTCCTGTCTTACTCTGAGAGTGCGCAGGTTGCTCCTGGTTGCTCCTCAAGTTCCCAGCTGGGGCCCTGCACACACACAGCCTTAACTCGGCACCCATCGACCAAATGCCAGAGGCCCCCCTGAGCCCATACATCCACCGAGGGCCACCAAGGCTCCCTGTGTGCCAGCCATCACCACCCCACATGGCCCCTTCCCTCTTGCTGGCTTCACCTGGCCTCCTGGAGACCCCTGCCTGGGGGGCGGGGCATGCACACCAGAGACACAGAGCAGCCCTGTTTGGAACAAGCCTTCCAGGCTCTTCCTGGCTCTTTCTAGGCTGGGTTCACCCTCTCATGCCAGCTCAGAGTCAAGCTGGAGGGTGCTCTTCTTCCCTTTGGCCAGAGCCTGCTGTGGCTCCCCATTGTCCCCGGACTTTCTTCTCAACTGCACGTCTCGGCCTTTTCCATGCACTCTCTGTCCTCGCACCTGCTCTGTCCAGGCAGAGGGGCCTGTGCTGTCCTCCCTTTTCCTGGGACCCCTGCTAAATTCCTGGCACTACCTCCCCGCTCCCCCCACCCCCAGCCGGCCGCTGGCCCTCTTTTGTGCACACTGCTGGGACAGGTGGTCACACTTCTCCACCCGCTCCTCTGGGTCCCCAGGGCCCGCTGAGCTCCTGCCCGGGTCTTGCCATCCTTGGAGCAGTCCTGGGGCTGAGGTCCATGCTTGTTGAACAATAACGCACCGCCTGACTGTCTGTCCGCCACGTGGACTCCAGCAGGGCCCTAGAGTGGAGCGAGTGGATCGAGCAGACAGCAGTGAAGTGCGAGCCCGCCCCAGCAGGCACCGTGGCACATCCGCGGCTGCCCCTGGTTGCCCAGGAATGGCAGGTATGTGAGCATCTGTGCGCATGCGCACATGCAGGGCCCGGAATGCGGGGCGGGAGGAGGCTGTGGAGCGCTCTCCACCGCCCCGCACTTCGGACAAGTCTGGCCAGGCCGCATTCTCCCTTTCCAGAGACGTGGGGGTTCTGAGACATGTGCTGGCCTTGGTACGGACCAGGCCCCGCCCGGTGAGGAGCGTGCTACACCCGACTCCAACTGGCTGTCGTGATGAGACCAGAGGGGGCCAAGCCCCCAGACACATCATGGGGGGAGGGGTCCAGGTTGCCCCTGGCACTGCCCCTTCTGCAGCTGCGGACACCACACCTGTGCAGCACGGTCCCTCTGTTGCTGAAACACGTCTTTGGAAGCGAGGGGTCAAGACCCTGCCTCCGCGGCAGACCCCCGGCGAGGCTCCCCGCACTAATCCAGGGGCAGCGCCCGCTGAGCTAGACGTCAGAGGGACTCTGGCGCCAGGGGAGGTGGCTGGAACACAGCAAACTCATCTGGGTCAACCATGCTCCTCCGGTTCCTTCCCTTCGGCCCCACCGGCGGCCCCGGGTGGGCGGGGCGGGCAGCGGAGGGTGTGCGCAGGTGTGGGAAGGACCACCCACCAAGGATGACAGGCGCGCTCTGCGTCCCCAGGAATTTGGGGGCGAAGCAGATGGCCGTGGCTGGGCGACATTTACTTGACTGTCTGTCAATATTTGCGAGGTTTTATTACTTTGCAGTGCCAGGTTTTAGAATAAATTAAATGGCTAATGGAAATATTAAAATAGAATTAATTTAACTAAACAAATAAAGCTGGGAGGGCTTCTTTGGAAGTTACCGAGTGTATTTCCAAGCCGAAGCTTCAGGGAGGGAGCAGGCGCAGGAGCCTGGGAAGGCGCTCAGCCAGCCCAGACTTCCCCAGGCCTTCATGGTGGGGCCAGGACCTGGGCTGGTCTGGACCAGCTGCCCTGGGCGCTCACAGCCTGGCAAGGGAGACGGAGGCGCCGTCCCCCTCCCCCACTGGCCACGCCTCCATCCCATCACTCAACTCTGGGACTTCTGCTCAGGGCCTGACTGGGGGGAGATTGAAGACAGAATAATCAGTCCTACATCCGCCCCCAGGGAGCTCACAAGTCTGGAAGGGAGGCAGAGAAGCGAATGGGGAAAAAGACAGCTTTGAAATAACAGGGTAGGGAAGCTTAAAGTCCGGAATTTTAAACATTTTAAAGCAAATATTGGTTTGGTTCCTATTATAACGTTTTGAGATATACACAGAAGTAATTCTTGACTGCCTCTTGGCCTTGCCTTTTGCCAGAAACTCCACCATTAGAAAGTCTCTTCACGGGCTAGAGCGCTGCCGTCTTCATGTGTCTTTTAAGATGCCAGTAAGGAGACGGACGGAAGTCGAGGAGTGGGCCCTCAAGGCTGTGGTTCCTGAGAGTGCGGGGCAGGGGGCTGGGGGTGGTCCAGGACGGTCTTTAGGAGGAGCAGTCCAAGGAATCTTCAGTTGACAGTCCCATCTCAGGGCAAGAGTGGGCGG